AAGTGTTTAGGTGTGTTAACACGTCTAAATGTTGACACATATCAGCACACGACAAAAGAAGGAAGATGGAGTATATATTAACACTAGCTTTTGCTTAAACAAAGAAATCAAATATCCTTCTTGAGAGAGTAATGGGGACTCGACATAGGCTCCTCATAGCAGTAGCATAAAGAACAACATGGAGAATCATGATCCAAGCATATTGAAGATGTAAACAATAGGTCCCTCCGCCCACCACATCCTCGGATACGTTATTTTCAATGAAGACCTACACAACTGCTACTAGAACTCAATGAAGATCCATGAACACCTCTGCATGCCTTGCTATGTGTTTTGTCAGTCCTAAATCCGCAATCCAACCATTAGAAAGCACACGAGCAACTAGCACCTCTATGCACATGTTTGCAAACTCAATGGATGATCAATTTGTACCTGTAGGGATGGGAATGGGTCAAGGTCAAGTCCGGGTCAACCCCGACCCGACTACGTCAAAGTTAGACCCAATCTTGACTCGGAGCCAGTTTGGGTCAATTGGACCAAGACCCAACAAGTATGTAAAAATTATTTTTATACACTTTATATACTCTTTTGTTATTTATTAGTATTATTTATATGTAATCTATATACTCATACTCAAGTCGGGCAGGCCTCAACCAGACCAGATAAGATCCAGCTTGGATCCAGATCAAGTTAAGTCAAGTTTAAATGGACCTAGACCGGCCCCTCGGCTCCATTGTTTGGGTCCAGACCCATTGGGGTTGACTTGTTAGGTCCACAGGTCAACCCAACCCAATTTTGACCCTTATGTACCTGCTTCGGCTTAGTGCATTCATGAGTGATGTGACCAGTCATCCCGTAGTTGTAGCCATAATTATCAAGATTTAAGACCAGATTGGATCGCTTTGTCCAATTGGTCGGATTGCCAACTTTTACCTAAGCTGCCCAGGCCCAAAGCAAACTAGGTGTGGTAAAAAATCGGTCAAAACCAATGTTTGATCAGTTTAGCTAGTTACGAACCAGTTTTGACCGAATGGACCAATTAAACAAAGTTAAGGATTTTTTGGTAATATATCTTATGTTCTTGAACTATTATTCTTTTTTGTCTTCTTTTTTTTTTCCATATTTTGCCCAACTAGTAGATAGTGGATGAACCGCTTTTGACTAGACCAGACCCCTCACTAATTTAGTGATCAATATTATCCTAATAACACTTGTTGCAGCGGCTCAACGATGACTTGTCCGTGGGAGCATTGGGCTTACCGCCCCCTTCACTTGGTATTAAACTTGCCCTTTTGCACCCTCAATCTCCATTTCCTCTTTCCTGGGAGGATTGTTGCCCTTGGAGCTTCCCTTGGTTTCTTATCACCCTTGGGCTTGTTTGGCTCGGCAAACATGGCGAGCTTGCTATCAATAGCGAAGTGGCACTCTACCTCCAACTCTGGATGATGAGATAGATGAACAAATATCTTGACATTTTAATCATGCATCATCATTATCTTCATTTGCTCCAAAGATTGAGGAAGTGATATAAGCACAACTGAACTATGTTGCTCATCACTGAACACATTGCTTGTTGCACTGGAGTCGTGTATCATTTATGATATCTTCCTCAAATGCTCTGTCATGGAGACATTTGGTATGATTTTGTACGTCCAAGGTTTCAGAAAAAGTTAGGCAGACCCTAAACAATTGGCCTGGTGCCCAGAGCCTAGTAGGCACCCAGAACCTCAAGCGCCCTGTAGTATAAATTCTTCAAATATATACATATATGTCATATGGAAACACACATTTATGCATATATTTGTGTCAATTCCGTAACTTATTGCATTTGTATGCATTGTAACATACTTTTTCAATACAGACATATTTCATGTTAAGAATAAACCTGTACAAAATTTAAAATTTTAAATCACAAAAAATTTAAAAGAAGTTAAAAGTCTAGTCTATGTATTAGTAATAGTCTCCAACTCTCCATGCTCCATAATAACATGGTCTATTCTCCAACCTCTAATAGTACCCTAAAAATAATTCCAATGAGAAAGAAAAGTTTAGGATGCTTCTTCAAACCGCAAAAAATACTTTTGATTCCTAGAAATAAGTATAGCTAAGAGATTTAGGGCTTATGGGAGTGTTCTTTTAATTTTGGGTCGTTTACAATGACCCCATAATCTATTTAAACTTTTTGGCGGTCAAAATTACTGCATTTGCCCTTTTAGGCATCTTTAAAAATTAAAAAAAAAAAAAAAAAAGGCCACGGCCTTGGGCACCCTCCAAGGTACAACCGTCCAAAATGGGGTGCCTAGGCCTAGGCGACGTGTAGAACGTATTTTGAAACTGTGTGTCTCAAATGCCAGCATGTGTATGCACAACATGGTGGCTGAAGTGCCAGCCAACTAGAGTTGCAATGCATGCCCCATCTCCTTGATCGTTAATTCATTTTGAATTCAATAGAGTGAAGCAAAATGAATTCAATAGAGTGAAGCAAACGCAGCAATCCCTTTTAAGCCACATTTGATAAGCATCTATCCCATGATGGGCTTGGGCTATATGCCCTTAAAGCAATTCATGCAGATGGCCAAGCTATATGCCCTTAAGGCGATTCATGCGGATGGCCAAGTGTTCTAGTACTCTCTATTGTTTAGTGAGTACTGGATCTTACGATGCCACATCTTAATCCCTAACCTCCAATTTCATTCCTCTGAAAAAGTCGACAATCACATTTTTTATGCAATTGAAATCTCTGTCTATGAATGAACAAAAGATCACAATAAATAGTTCACAAAATGTCACACAGTCACATATAATATCATTGAATCTTGCTCTTGAGTCTCCAAGGTTCAAATTAGTTAAAACTCTAAAGCAACTTGAATTGAAAATTTTGCGAATCCTTTCTAGTCGATGCTAGTAATCATCATCAAGATTGAGAGGCTCAACATCCTAATCGTCGTCATCGAGTAAGTCTTTGCATGCCTGATGCAAAATTCCACTATTAGGTGTAATCTAATAGTGTAAGCGTAATAGTGGGATTTTGCAACGAGTGCCCAGCATGCCAATGGGATTTAGCCTAGAGAACTGTGCAGGACCATCATGGTCCAACAAGTGCCCAACATGCCAAAGGGCCGTGTGTCCCTAATGCTTGCTGGATTCTTGAGGCAACCCCTCGCACCATCTATTTACATACAAGACTATGAGATCCAATTGAGGCAGAAAAGCTACATTCCAGGTGGTAAGCTAGGCAACCTCCATGAGGAGTGTTGATTGTGATTATTCATATTCATTGCCATGCAGATTGTGCTAGCAACTCACTATCAACATAAACTTTGCATCACCAATGTACCCAAACACGAAAAACTTTGCATTGTTAATGTACCCAGACATGGAGACTGGTTAGTTGAATTTCTTATACACTAGGATAGTAGCACTTGTTATGGAGGACAACCACATTATGTCAATTTCTCCTGATGGAAAATTTGCTCATTCAGTCCTTAATGTTAGTTCTACCATAGAATTGGTCCCAATTCTTATTTAAACATATGTGGCACCGATGTTGGATTGTTTCTAGAGTTTTGCTTTTTTTCTCCTCCCAAAAAAAGCAAAAAATAAACTTTGCATCACCAAATATTAAATGTTTCTCCTCTTTGCCATAAAATAACATAAAATTCTCTCAAAGCAACATTAAGAAAGGATAAACCCAAACTCCAGATATAAACGAAAACAAAAAACAACAAGTAGTTTACCAACAAAGTGTAAAAGAAAAAGAGGAATAACAAATCAATCTAAACTAAAAATGCATAAAAACCAATGAAAACCACTTCCTACCATAAACTGATGTCAGCATTTCAAAAAATGAGATGCATTTAACGATCAGAACAAAAGCCAGTAAATATTCAATTAAGATGCACAAAAATTCACAAAATAACTCAATCTTTACCTTGTAGTCCCATTATCTGGGTCATGACTGATGGCGATCACGTAGTCACCCAAAGCCCTTGCAAAAACCCCTCAATCTCCAACATGGTGCTCTACATTACAAACCACAGCATCCTTCGGTATCGATCTCAAAGGAAGTATATTTCCCACAATTAAATTCGTCTTTTTACCACAGTAAAAAAACTGAACAGTGTACATTTCCTCGGCTGCGACAAAGAGCTCCTTAGAAGCTTGCATCGAAATGGATGCCTAAATGTGACTTTACAGAGAGGGGCTCCACGACCTGGATCATGGATCATGTCAGTGACCATCCCTTTTAGGTATCCATTTCTGTCTCCATAATCAAGGATATGAAACGTTGCAGGCCCTTTGCGATGATGAGTGTGCTACTTGAACACTGAGACAGCTTCCTTTCTCTGAGCTCTGATCAAACAGCCCATGACTGTAATCAGAAATCTGTGAAATTTGGGCTGGAGAGGGACGGTTTATCAAAAATATGTGAAATTTGGGTTTCTCTCTATAGAATGGAGAATAAATCCAACGTAACTCTCTCTCTACCACGCGCAAATCTCTCTTACTACCGCCAGGTTTCCTCTTTGTCTCTCGCTCTAAAACACTCTCTCACTCCCTGTGAGAGAAGTTTGCTCTCTCTCTCTCTAGAACGCGCACGCAGTGTGCCATTTTGAAGGGGTTCAATCTAGGGCTTGATAATCATGGACGAAAAGGCCCCTAAATATTTTTCCAAATGACGAGACTAGGTTCATGATAAAGCATAAAGGGTGACAAGTATGAGTATATGGAACATGTGGTCTTAAGGTTCATGAGCGTCTATAATTTAATTGAACGACGATGACAAGAGAGTGTAACGAAGTTCATTTTGGCGGGTCCTAGAATATCTTTAGCCACGTTAATGCGTTGATTGACAGTGATGAAGCGCATCACGATATGGTTTATGTGCACCTATGGAGCATCGTATTGCGGCCCGCTCCTTCTACATTCATATTGCAATTTCTCTCTCTCCTCTCTCCCTCTCTCTTCATATTGGAGTTTCTCTCTCCTCTCTCTTCATATTGGAGTTTCTCTCTCCTCTCTCTCTCTCCATTCATATTGCAGTTTCTCTCTCTGCATTCATAGTCTCTCTCGATCTGTTTTTGTTGGAAAACTTAGTACAATGGTTGAGATTGAGGACATCACGGACGAAACCAAACCCAATTCAAGCTCCGTCGAAAATCAGGGATCAGAAGAACCCCAATCCTCTGAGAAGCAGACAGAGACTAGGTTTCCAGAGGTGGAGGAATCCTCTGACAAGCAGACGGAGACTAGGGTTCCAGAGGTGGAGGTCCACCTTTACAAGAGAGGTAAAGGCCCCAATGATGTTTTCAAGTCGAGCTTAGGAGGTTGGGATCAGGACAGGCTTGAGGTCCATGACATTTTGGAGAAATACTCACTGAAATCGATTTATGCGTTCAACCCATCTTCAGGAAGAGGGGTTCCGATTCGTTTCAACCCAAAAAATGGCCGATCTTTGTTACCTTACAGAGATGGGGCCGTAGTCTTCATCGATGGAGAACCTAAGGTCTCTCTCTCTTATCACAATTTTTTTGGTGATTTTATGAATATTACTACATCTGAATTCTAATGCGTCGTCAATATTTATGTTTTAATCTTTATTTTTAACAGAAATCCATTAAATTATGTCTGAATAATTATGAATTTAATATGATCAATGGATGTGGAGAACTAATTAAGTTAACCGGATTATTTGGATTGGAAAACTGGAAAGGAGAAAAAAAAACTCTTTCTTGCCCTAAACATTCACTAACATGAGGTTTATAGTTTTAAAGAAATACTGGAACTCTGAAAACAAAATATCTTTTCCTTTTAACGCCCAAAACATTGATACAAGGCTCATACCCATATTACTGATACATGTGTTACTTTTCTAATTGAGTGTTATAATAACGTGAACTAAACTAGTATTATTGCTTTTCTTTTCAGTAAAGGTGACTGTTTTAATAGATAATAGAAATTTTTTTATTAGCTGCAACCCAAAAATTTAGGGAATTATGTTGATTTTTGGTGAATGCTTGCAAATTTTGCATTGTTTGTTGTGGAAAGTATGGGTTAATGAGATCACCATAGGCCTTGGTTAATGCCCATATCAATGATTCGGAAATTGCCAGTCCGACATGGAATAAGTCATATTGGAAATGGCAGGTGGACGATTTCGGATGGAAGATCCCTGGAATCACCGGATTCTCCCAGTTTCCTATGCTTTTTTCTCAGTTTCTTTGTAAGTATTAGTCCTGTTCGACTTGTGATTTGCCTGAGTTGGACCAGGAGAATTGGAATCCGACCCCTGCCGGGGCCAATCCTATTTTTAAACACTGACCCACATATAATAGCGTTGAAGTGGCTACAATGGACATCATTTGTTATAGTTTGTGACTAGTGTAGTGAGGCTTAATTAAAACAATTCACCAAACATTGCTTCTTACTATGCTTTTGGTTCTTCCTATTCACCATTATGATACTACTTACTTTCCAGTGAAGTATATAAGCTGCCATATGCAGCATAAAAATCAAATACCAAAAAGTTGTCGAGTACTAGCTGTGGGTGTTGAGTGACTTTGAATCTAACTTTGGTAGTTTAATAAATCATAAACATTTTACTCTTCAAAAGGATAGTTCAGATAGATAAATGATTATTGTCGACAAGTCCTGAATGAAGTAAAGATATGCACAGGAAATTTATTGGGTTATGCAATCTAGTGAAGGTACATTTGCTCCCAATGTTGCATTTATGGGCAAAAGAAAAGGGAAAAGATTTCCATGTGACCCCATCCACATATATTGTATATGTGACCTCTTATCTCAGCCGTCAGATCTTAGCAGATGGCTTAGATGTCTTGAATCACAGTGTCACAAAGCTGGCTCCCGAGCATCAGACCTTGATCTGACAACTTAGAGTGTTTTATTTTTACTCTTTATTCTATAAATTATTTTGCAGCTAAATTTGGGGCATGCATATATCTGACACGGGTGAACATGATAAAAATAATAAGAAAACATTTCTTATTATGAACAATTACCAGCTTACCCCTGAAGCTTTAATGGGTATTTTGGGAATTTATTTTCGTGAGAAATGTTTTTTGTATTTTTTCTAAGTGCACCCAGGGAAGGAGATGGGATGCTCTAAATTTCAGGCAAAATGGTTTTGTAGAAAAGTTAAAAATCAAACAATGTTTTGGCATGACATTGTGACATGAGCAATCCTCGCTGTCTACTCAGATCAAATGGCTGAGATGTGGGGTCTCATATAATTTATATGTGGCTGGGGAGATACAGAAAGCTTTCCCAAAGAAAAGAAACTGGCCATCAATTATAAAGTTTAGTAAACATCTCACCACCTTGGATGAGAAGATCCACCTAATTTCACTATGGATATCAAGGCAGCATGTTAGGAGAGGCTAATGAACCTAAAGAAGGTGATAGTGGACCCAGTGCTCGGAGTTTGGAAGGTAAGTTGTGGGGGTGAGCAAGTGTATTTATGATTTGAGTATAACAACTTCAAGGATGTTGATTTCAGAAAAGCAACTTCAAGGATGTTACCTTGTGAGAAGAAATCTTGCCGAGCTCTGTTTCGAAAGAACTCCTTTTTCATGGTTAGCCTTTAAAAAATTGAAGACTCGACTTGGGATTCACCAAATTCGTCTCAGGTCCAGGTGCCCAAGGAAGTCCGGAGGCAAAACCTTGGCATTCGGCCATATCTCCCTCCTTACCCAGACTTCTTTGTTTAAAGATATCTAGTAAGACTGGGAACTGACCCTAGTCGGACCGGGTGCCTTGGGATCCGGACCATGGCAAGTCTCAGCCCATGCCCATGCTTTTAAACACTGCTTACAGTTCATGGGAGCTACTAAGAGTAGAAGACGAGTGAGTGAGCTCTATCAATCAAGAGGTGCGAGGGGAGGGGAGAGGAGGAAAAAGAGGCGGGGAGAGGGGAGGAAAAAGAAAGGGGGGGGGGAGTTAAGGTAAAAGGAGTGAGTGAATTCTAATTGGAAGTATTGGGCCTATGGGCATTGACCCAGCTTTCAAGGCGTTGAGGCCTATTGTAACAAGTTAATAGCCACCTTTAGAGGAGCAGAATCTTTGTGCTATGTTTGGTGGTCTACGATTGATTTTAAAGTTGATGCATGCACTCTAAATGAGCTTTTGAGGTGAGGTGGCTCCACTTATGGCAACTTCATTGAGATTTAAATAATAGAGGCAATGTTGCTTTGTTGGTGATGATGTTGGGATTTGTTTTGAGAAATAGTTTGCTCAAATACAAGGCTTATCTCTTGGTGTTAAGGTCTGAAAAATAGGAATATACTCAAATATAAGGCTTATCTCTTGTGTGTGTGCGTGCGCGTGCCCGTCGATTTGACAGTCACGATTGCATTTTGTATTTGATTGTTTAGCTTTTCTTGACAGTCACTTTGGGTACCACCCCAACCTCCAGGTCACAATCACCCCTAGCCACACAACCTGACAGTCACTTTGGGTGGTACCACCCAAACCTCCAGTTTCATATATGATAGCTAGGGGTGATTGTGACTTTTTTGTACCAATGATAAGAGATCTTATTCTATACTTCGCCTTATGTTATAATACTAAGTGATCATTCAATGCTGCTTCTCCTATTGAGGTTTAATATCAAAATATTCATAGAAGTTTATTCATATAACTTGAGTTGTTCTTGGAACTTCATGTGTCACTGAAATCTTTCTCGAAAGAAGCTTGACACCATTAAGAGGCATGTTTTTGAAAGGTCAAGATAGAGGACTAAATTGAATAAGTGCTGATTTGCCAATAAATAGGTAATATTATTTTTGTTTATAATTGAAGGAAGAAAGGTTATCCATGACCGCTCATATCTCTCAACAAATTTAACTTATTTAGATGTGCTAGAAAGCTTGTCGCTGCCTCATGGTTCATGAATGGAAAAGCTTAAAGACCTGAGTAGGAAGATGCATGTGAATCCTTGAAGGGCAAGCTTAAAGGCCATGGTTCCTTATGAGCATGCACAAATAGGACCAGTGCGTTTCTATGCAGTAGAATAACGGGCTAGTTCAATTGGCAAGCTTTGTATGTGTCGCCAAACACATACAATTTAACCGACACTAGCTAGATGGCCCAGAGTTAGCCGCTAATAAGTTCACACGTTATCTATGGATTGACGCAACCAGCTGACACCAATATGTGAAATTGTTATTTGCTCATTCCCTGCCATCCGATCAAAAACAGATGGTTGTGGTCCCCAAATGCATATAAGGTATATATGTGCAAAGACGCTAAAAAGGTTATCTGAGTTTTAGTTGTCCCGCGTTGTCAAAGTTGTCATTGACAGTAACATTTTAGCCCAGTTTGTTTTCTATTTGGACCCATGTGTTAATAGTAGTGGCACCATGGTCATGCATGTCAAATAGTTGAATGCTAGAGTTTATTGCTCCTGTTGTTTTTATAAATATTTGATAAGCTAATTCTACTACTTGTACATATGCTTGGATAAATAAAATCTTATATTTGTGGGCGATTCATTGCAGGATCCATTGATCAAACCAATAACAAAGATGTTGTTTGGTGTTGCTGCTATAACCCTTCTGATATCAATATTCGTAAGAGAAACCCCATCATGGCTTCAAAATCCAAGCTTTTTAGGGGTAACTTTTCCCCCTTGGATCCTTGCTTGCATGGTTATAGTCTTCACTCGCCTGAAAAAGAGGACTCGAGGTCTACTTCAGAAGTATGGATGGTGATCAAAGCAACTCATGGAGAAAGCTGAACATACCATATTTCTTAGGATTGTATACATTATGACCTTTTTTTTTTTTTTTCCATACACAAAGGTCACAAACACCTCAAGCCATCAAGTATAAAATCAGTTAATTTGAGTGTATTATTTCTCTGCACAAAGTCCGGAAGATAAGTTTTTAAGATATGAGTATGGTATGACTATCTGATTTTACATCCAACAGTTAGGGATGATTTTGAATTTTTTGTATAAACTTAGACAAATCTCATTGTATGCATGCCATATTTCTTGATGTTCTTACGTTGTTTTTATTTAATTATGCTGCGAGTTGTTCTATTCCAAACATAATATGCGCAGTGCTGGCCATGGTTGTGTTTTCATTTCAATTTATTTCATGAAATCCGCCTCTCTCTCTCTCTATCTCTCTTGTTCAATAAACCATCAATACCCTCAATTATCACACCCCGGGGAAGAAAATAATAGTCCATCTTATACATTTTTTTTTACTCTTCCTTTCAATTCTCCAAATATCATCAGAGCTATACTAATTTTTAAGCTCCAAATTCATGGATCAGAGATGGAAATGGATTTGCGGTGATTTAGAACGCGTTTTGGGTCCTAAAACCGGCGGACATGAGTCAGCAGACTCACCAAAAACTTTCCGAAATGCAAAAGCTCCCAAAAGAAAAAAGCTATACATCCATTGCACCCCCAAAAAGCAAGGAATGCAAAATAATAAAGCATCAGAATTGCTATTAAATACATGAGTAAGTGATACAATTGCATCTAACATGGGCATTCCCCAGAAAGTGGAGTAAGCTTATTAAATCTCTTAAGAACATTAGAAGCCCAACTTGACAAGAAGGTCCGATTAAACCCCACCTGTCGATCTTTGTAAAAGAAGAAGCACTCTAAATCCCCCCTTTCAGGATAAGGGCATTCAGGCCCCTCTGTGTCTCTCCATGTGCCCTCATGCTTCATTCCCATCCAATCTGCAAGCCAATGAAACACATACTGACCGGCTCCTGCAAGCTCTAACCATCCTTTTGGGAAAATTTCCATTATGTGGCTTCCCTTTGACATGAAAATCATGTTTGCTAGTTGGGCTCCATGGACTGTCGCCACAACTTGAGTCGTACTCATCAATTGCACCTGCAATATAGAGAATTTGGTCATTTCGAAGAGTGATGCATCGAGGTATCTTCATAATTTACTATATTGGTGAGCATATGTTCTCACAGTCACCGCACTTGTATAAATCTTCATAGAGTCAAGATAGATAAACAACACCCCAAAAGATAAGGTCATATATAAATGTCTTATAATAAAATCCTCATAGACATTGATAATAGAGTCCTAAAAGTAACACCCTCCACAAAGTAGGGTTATTGGTAGAATCAGTGATTTAAAAAGTCGTGAATCAGGCTTGGACTCATCTGGGTCACTAAGACCTGGTACCCTCCCTGGTCCAGATAAAAAAGCCTAAGTACCAGCAAGTCTTACTGAGCACTGGCCCCCTTTTATTTTTTACACTGAGGGTTGGCCAAGTCGGATGTCCGACTACGCCAATGAGGTAACCTACTCGAGCTCAGAACCCTAGCACGTCCTAGCCCAAGTCCTTGTTTTCAGACACCGGTAAAACTGATGTTCCTTCCAATAAGATATGAAAATAGGACACTTTGATTGCCCGACAAACTAGGGCTATTATTGTTTGTTAGTAGACAATGGAAATAGGAAACTTTCATTGCTCAAAATACAGAGCAGTAGTTTCACAGAAATAGGACATATTTTCATAGCGCAAATTATAGATAAGTAGTTTCCATTAACATCCATATGAATTAAAATACTTTCTTGTGAAAAGAACTTCTCAAATATATCCGCAATTATTTCGAAGTTTTCAAACTAAAATTACAAGACCCGTAATAGATGTTAGTGTGTTTTGTGCGTGTATGTGTGCCTGTATGGACGATAATAATAGATGCAGAAAGAGAGAGAGAGAGAGCATCATGAAAAAATAGAAGTTACCTGATCACAGAAGCTTAGACCATCAGCTCTAACAGCACGGAACCGACAACCAATAACCTTTTTGCACTCTTCCTCAAAGATGGACGCAATGATTGATTCATTCCTAAATGACCTATTTCCCGCTCTGGTTAGAAGTGTAAAATTGAAGGTGGAATCGCCCAGATCCAAATCTTGCCCAACAGCAACTCTACAAAACTGACGGGCCTTACATCGAATAATGTCAAATACCTCCATTCTTTTCTCTAATGACACATGCGAAATGCCACGCCTATATATCACTGCTCGCTCAAAGCATACAGGACCATCACCATAATCCAAAACATCAACTGGTACCATCCGACCAAAGGATGCATGCAAAACTTCAGAAATCCAAGACCCCATTTTACTAACAATTTCACCCCAATGGTAAAGCACAAATCTATCGGGCACCGCACATTCATTGAACTTGTGCCACCACACAAAAGGGACAAGGGTGGTTAATCCATGCCATAGATTCTTGTAGTCCCAGTAATTATTGGAAACAAAAGTTAATCCAGGAAGGAGAGTGAAGTTTCGAGGCAAGTGCTCTTTCCAAGCAAGGCCATAACTATTTTTGGCTCCATCAGATCTATCCCTGCCCAAAATACAGAGAATCCTCCCTTTGGAGGAGTTTGATGGAAAGTACAAATTACCCAATGTAGGGTTTTCCATTTTCTCCTTGAAACTACTCATGAACCATGTATGCCCGTCATCAGCAGTCTTTTCGAAGCTTAAATCTTTCAGAGGCAAGAATGTTATTGAATATTTTAGTTTTCTCTCCATTGCATCCATTCTAAGTAGTGTTTTTTGAATATCATTCTTCAATGCTTCAATATCATTGTTATTGCCATTAGAGCATAGGCTCCAATTGTAGGCTGTTTGGGCCCCGATGAAACTCCCTTTAGGCCAGGCCTTCCAATCAAGTAAGGACCATCTGTTTCTATCAAATGCACCAATTTGAAGAACCATGGCAAGAGCAATGAAAAGGGTAATCATGGACACGCAAGTAAACGAGAATCTCAAACTCAAAAGCCGAAAGCCAAAGAGATTTGAGATCCTCCAAGTCTTATTTTGCATGTCCATTCTTCTAAGTCTTTTACTTCAATGTTCTTATGAACTCAAGGATATCATCTCTAGGGACATTAAAGATAAGGAGAAGTCCATAACAAGAACATCAACTTACTACAAACTCCAGAATTTGCTCGCAACTGAAACCAGATCTCCTCACTTGAAGGTTGAAGGCTTTTTTCAGGGCATTGAAACCTCTAACATGGTAATGAGCAATCTACATGAAGAATAGCAATACATTGAAGAGTAAGTTTTTTTTTTCAAAGTAACCCATTATTAAATGAATAAATAGGCACAAGAACATTAATTACTAATTAAAAAAAGTTCAACAGTTAACACAATCTATTTACATAACAGTGGAAAGAAGAAGATAGCAAGACAACTTGAAAATCCCCAAAATGTAGATAAAGAAAACGTAGAGATCCAATAACATAACTAAGCATGGTACATGACCAGATCCACGAGCTTAACAAAGAGAAATCCAGAAGAATACCCTAATTTAAAAGCATATGAAATGTCCTACACCATTAAACTTGTGAGACAATATCTGATCCTCTCAGAAGAATGAGATATGGATATGGAAAACAAAAAAAAAAAATTAAGAAGAAACCTAAATATAGAAAATTCGAGTGTGAAAATATCCAATAGCAACTCACCCAATAAATTATGGACTTATCAGATAATGCCCCAAGTTACAGTACACCAATATTGGGGCTAGGGAACAGTCAAATCTCTAATTTTACCAGTTACCAAAATAAGAAAGCATTATTTCTCTACTTATAAAAATAAAGAAAAACTCATCTCATTATATAATGCCATATCTGACAATTTTTACTGCAAAGATATTTAGACATTCTGATTTTTCCAGTAAGCACATAAAAGAACACTTTTGTTTTTGTTAATTATCAACAACTGTATGGAAACCAAGCTGGGGTTATCTATGTATTCTAGTACTTACTTGACGGATAGCTTGTTTCACCAAATGAGGAAACCCAACCCTTGTTTTTAAACCAACCCTACTTTTTATGATCACTCCGAAAGTAAACACAATTGAGAAGATTTGGAGTCCCGCTGCTTAATTTGAGCTGCGTCTAAACAATACAAGCCCATAGATCCTAATTCCTTCCAACTATTGCAAAACAATATAAGTTTTTAGCTGTTTATTTGACTCTATTTTATAAAAAGAAATCCTAGCGTCAACTCCTATCATCAATGACAGAAAAATAAACTCAATTGAAAGTCTTGAAACTTCGTTTGAGCTATCATGGACTAAATGAGCACAAAAAACGAGCTATCATGGACTAAATGAGCACAAAAAACCCCAATCAGTTAAAAGCTTAAAAAAAAAAAAAAAACCAATTTTTCTCCATACAAAGAAGAAGCCCTGAAAATGGAAGTAGAGACTGACCTTTGCAGAAGCTCTGGTTACGGAACACGTAACTACGCCATTAAGAAGAGGAAAAGCCAAAAAATATGGCGTATTTGAAGGGGAGTCGATTGATGAAGCCATTGTTTTTTTTTAATGGAAGACGCAGAAACCAGAGTAGAATCAAGTGGAATGAGAGGAGCTCCCTGGTTTTCAACTGAAGTTTCAAATATATTATGGATACGTATGCTATGCTCCTGTGGGAGCATACTGCACATATACTCTGATTCAAAAGACCTTGAATTTTTTTCGAATTGAAACTTTGGAAACCACCTAAAAATAATTAGACAATAAACTTTAACAGAAAAACTTCGCATTTTGAATTTTGACTCGTAGATCTCGTCTGCAAAATTTTGTTGGTCTCTCCAATTAATTTTGAGACATTATACTTTTTCTTTGTAGCTAGAGATTTCAATTTTGAAAAAAAGTTAGTGAGGTTAGTCAATAGGTTGGAGAGGTTGCATCATCAAAATTAATTTCGAGTCTTAAATTGCTCCTATATTGGTTTTTATTAGAGAGTGAATGTCAGTATAGTAAAATCTTTTGGCATATACTATTAGGAAGGTTTAGAGTTTAGAATGTCATGGATAATAAAGTGGCGCCTCAAGAGTGGTCTCGCCGGGCCACTTGTTTACACATGGTCTCGCTTCCAAATCTCATGGTTAGGGAGGACGGTTTTTGTTAATTGTTGAGTACATTCTCTAAGTATATGTATTGTTATTTAATTAATAACTTTTCAGTAATTTTTAGCAATTTTTATTTTTGGATAAAAGGAAGTAATTTTTAACAAATTACCCAAGTAAAACAAAATAACTTCTCAAGAAAATAAATTTATATAATGGCCTATAAATTATAAGTTTACCTTAGATTTTTTTGATAGACAATACCAAACAACCTATTATTTTTTATTTGGATTAATGTCATTGAAACAATAAATTACCAGTGATAACAAGGGCATCCAAATATGCCCCACGGTGAAAATGTTTTTCTATAAGAAAAAGTATACAAAGAGACTATCTACTTTGGTATAAGGACGACAAACACTCTTGTTCGTTGGATTTCAAATTGGACAGTTGTAAATTGTCATTAAATGCACTCAAAGCTCAAAAAAAAAAAAATTTGAACTTCGTGACAATACCCTATGCCATCTACCATGACACCTAATGACTAAGAGTACATGTGACCACCTTGTGAAAAAGATAAATTGTCTCTTATTGTGCAATCCCCTATCTAATGCAACTAAGAAATTGTAGTCACCATATTAGTAAGAAAAATTGTTTCATATGGGCTGGACCGCATGATTACATATACGGTCCCAAAAATATAAAGCATCCATCTTAAAGATGGATGCAAGTAGGTGTTCCATCTAAAAACAATGGAAACTAACGGTCCAAATGTTCTTTTATTTGAATTATTATTTCTAGTTTTTAAAATTTTTTACTTTTTCATATTCATGATCTCCATTTAGAGATTGCATGTCCTTAGAAATTACGTCCAAAAATCAATCTAAAAAATAGATTTATTAATAGGCTCGCATTTCTACATATGCGAGCTTGATCGCATAGAAAATGAGTCCTACTAGTAATAGGGAAAGGTTTCTATGCTTCCCCTACATCATAGAAGTTCTATCCTCCCTCTACCATCCAGCCGTTCAATTTTGATCGAGAGAGCCACTCACCGTTTGATCTTAGATCCGACGTTTCAAAGTATTTTATTTTTAGTTTTTTTATACAAATTGTATGAATATGAAATTTGGTACATGCCATCTTCTCATTGGGGTGCACCTATAAAAAATATTAGAAATAATTTTTCAATAAAATATAATGACCAAAATACTCCTTAAAATTTTCAGGGATATTTTGATCATTTTATTTTACTGAAAATATTTTTTTTATGTTTTTTGCTAGTGCGAGTTTAATAGAGGAATGGACGTTCAAAATTTGGTGTCAAAATAGTTTACAGAAAAAAATTTAAAATAAAATAGTGTAGAGACCTAACATTATGATTGGAACAATCTTAATCCTCCATTTCAGAATGGACGGTTGGATAAAGGGGATAATAGAACTTCTATGTTGTAGAGGAAGCATAGAAAGCTTGCCCTTAGTAATATGCATTTCCAAATACCTGTCGCTCAAAATGACATTTAAATGCATTGAAGGTATTTCAAGGGTGCTTTGAGACGTAAAAACTCTTTTAAGAAAGTGTTTTGGTTGCAGGGCTAAATGTACATTTTTGTCCATGTAGGACCAACTTGCATTTATGTTAAGAAATAATGGTCAAACCCAAAGGAAATCCTGTCTGCTCTTTTATTCAAGGAATTTACCCCCTTTTTTATTCAGGGAATTTGCTGAAACTTAAGATTTCAAAAGAGCACATGACACAATCATACAAGTACAAAAGCATTACTGAACAATAATTTAATGGTAGAAAGTCGGTGGTTTGTTAGACTCTTTGAATTTTTAATTCTCTCCCTCATTTTTTATTCTCTGATGAGAAAGAACGGAGGTTGTATTAGTTGGCGACCAGTATAAAATTTTGCCGCATCTCTTCATAAATTCTTATCCAATATTTCATGCTAATATATTAACTTATTTGTTAAGTAGAGCTTTATTTGAATTGAGAATTGCCTGATTTGCGTCTCTATCATGAATTCTGATCCAATATTATATGTTTATAAAGTTAAATAAAATTTTATTTGGATTGAGAATTGCTTGATCTTGTTATGGAAACTAGACCCGACGAATTAGATCCAAATTCTGATTTTTGAAACATTGCCTTCGGTAGTAACATGGCTTAGTAGTAGATTAGAGTGAGAATTATCATTTTCTAGTAAAATAGAATTAAGAAGAGAGAGTTACTTCAAAATTCATTAACCTTTCGTAAATTGTGGAGCCATGCTACTTCTTGTGCATCTTAAATTCATATATTTAGGGGGAAGTGCAAAGAAATCAAGAAGTTAGAATTAAAAATCAATTTGTTTGTTAAATCATACGCAACTTAGAAGTTAATTCAAAACTTTCTCCAATTTCCACTCCTGACCCACGTGTTCCCCCCCTTCTCTCTATTAGATTTCCAGTTTGTCTCTCTTTCAGTTGGAGATTTTAGGTTTTCTTTTATGTGTGAATGTGATTTCCAGCTTCTCTCCCTCTCATTTCCAGATTTTCTCTCTGATGGGAGATTTTAGGTTGTATATGTGTGTGAATTTCTTCGGATCGACAAGACAAAATAAAAGATTCAAAGATCGTACAGAAAGTGGAAAAGAGGTGCTTAGACCCCCTCTTAGCCGTATGATGGACCGATGAAGGGCGCCCGCCATAAGGGCTACAGGATAGCCAGATGGACCGATGAAGAGCGCCCGCCATAAGGGCTACAGGATAGCCAGATGACCCCTGGAGACGGCACTATTTTCCATCCCTACCTTTTGGACCAAACCCCGGGCTTTATGACCTACTTAGTGTAGACCTACATATCTGCATTGTCCATTTAATTTGGATGGTGCAAACCCGACCCTACTATCGATACAAGGACGGGACATACAAATATTAGGGCCTACATAACAACATTATGCAGGATCTAATGCTATAGAACACTTTTCCAAAAAGAGGCCTTCAATGAGTTCACTATTGCCTTACTTCATTTCTCTTCTTTCTTATTCCTCTTGCAAGCCTGTAAATATTCAATGCCCTGCAATTGAGCCTTGTTCATCTCTCAGAGTAATTCATCTTTGTTGCAATGGTCTGCATGAGAGCAATGAGATAAAACCAGTCTGTTGAAGAGGAGAGGAAAAGGGAGGAAAGAGAGAGGGCACATGGATGCCAGTCCAAAGGGTGGGGAAGGTCAGAGAGGCAGAGAAGAGATGGGGAACAATGATTCACAGAGTAGAGAGCTCAAAACAGGGCCACATTTTAGGAGAATGACAAGTTCAGACTAGGCTAGAGGACTCAAGGATTGGGCTCCAAAGTAGGGACAGAAATAGCGATTTGGGTATCGGGCCACTAGGGCATCCAGCAGAGCATCTAGCCCCATGTCCTATGTATTGGATGGGTTCTCAGCAGCTCTCATCCACAGTTGCCGGGGAAAAATGTAATCTTTTTTCAGAAAAATAAGTTAAGGAAAAGTATATAATACGACTATTTATCTTGGTACAAAATGGTCACAATTAATTTTAACCATTGAATGTAAAATTAAATGGCTTCATTTATTCCATTGACCAAGCTCAAACTTCAAAAAAACATTTCTCGAATTTTGTAACATAACCAACCCATGCTATTAGATTTCACATCGGATGATTGTAAGTAATTGTGACCTCCTTGTGTCTAAGATAAATGGATAAATGGTCTCATTGTACATAATCCCATAAGTTAAAGCTTTAAGGGAGCTACATACCTGCTAGTTTTTACTCCATAATAGGTATACATCTGTTTGACTGAGGGGGCCAAAGGGTTCGAGCATCTGTTTGACTGGGGGCCAAGGGTTCGAGCATCGGAACTATTTTTTACAAACAAAGCAAGATTCGTTTTTCTTTGCCTTGTTTATGCAGCTCTAAGAAGAGGGCAATTTCAATAAGAACAAAACGATTTTCGAAAAGTAATTCTCGAAAGAAATATTAGCACCAGTCGAAAGAATATCACCAAGCTATTGAAGTACAAAAGATAATGGAACAGAGTACGAATTTTCAAAACCATGACAAATGTATAAGAAACTATGGTCAAGAAATTAAATCAAGATTAAACAGAGGAAAATGTTAAACAAAAAGAGAACTCCCAACAAAAACACCGAGGAAGCTCACTCAACAGCCTCAGGGGGATGGATATCTATCTATATATATATATATATAGAGAGAGAGAGAGAGAGAGAGAGAGAGAGAAGAAACAATAGAAC